AATTAACAGAAAGACAGAGGGAGATCGCATGACAGGTCAGCCATAAAACGGCAGCCAGTGCCACTCCTACGTGGAGAATCCTCTTCTGCTCTAAATGAGTGTAGTCTCTGTCAGCCAGAAAGGGCTAGAGGTCCCCTGGCAGAACGGCAGTGTGTGGGAGACAGAACCTATGCCTGAATGAGCAGGAAGACTGAATTCACTTCTCTTCCTGGGAAAATCCCTTTCAAAGCAGAGATAAGAATCATTCCTACACTAAGTGTATGGGGACTGAGGAATCCCATGGGTGAACAGATTAAATGGGAAGCACGAGGCACTCCTGCTTTTCCATGGGGCTGACATAGCTATTCCCATCCCTCCCATAGCAGCCTGGGTCCTTGTGTTCCACTTACCATACACCCAGCCAACACAGATGACTTCAAAAATGGCCAGGAACAGTAGGCATGTACCGCTGGCAGCATAATAATCAAACAGCTGGAAGATGTACATTCCACCCTGTGTCAAGCAGAGAAAGGGGAGACGTGGAGGGCTCACCAGAAAGGTATGTGCAAGAGAAAATGGAATTTGGACAAATACAAAACAAGGCTGAGGGACGGGGAACTGCACACAGAGCAAAGGCGCATAGGAGGAGAGATCTCTCTCTAGGCCTGTCCACACTAGGAAATTATACTAGGTACCACCATGCACCAAAATGATGGTCAGGCATGGGGCCAGGATGATGTTTCACAATCATTTCATAGCATGACTTCAGTGTCCACAGAGTACAGGGATTTGGGGTTTTTTTAAACGCTGCTATAGATCATTCTCCCTGGCAAGTTTCTCGCACTGTTTCTGAATGTGGTCCTTGGCTATGTTGAGCTTTGGGCATAAGCCATAAAGTTTAGATCTAGGTGTGAACTACCCTGAAGTTCAGTATGTTTAGATGTCGGGTTTCTAGTTCAAGCCCATCTCTACATGTTGCAAGGGTCCCAAGCATAGTTGAAAGCCTTATGGAAGCAACGGCCTTTGGCTCTCTATTGTGCAATGACAGTACAATGGACTGAGCATTTGTTCTACTCTCAGGAGAGCTATTTGTACAATCTGACTCTCTCTTGTGTTCTCACAACTGGTCTTGACAAGAAAATAGCACCTCCAAGAAAAGAAAAAAGTGGAGCAGATACATTGGAAAATTATTCAACCCCTTGAATGGCCACAGAGACAGAAGAAAAGCTTTCCTATTAATCCCACCAAACACTGAGCCAGCTTTATGCAGTGTTTAGATTATCCCACAGTGATGGGCAATGTGTAAAAGCCCCAGGGAAGT